TTTATCGGGTTTATTATCGCCCTCCAAGCATTTCTTAGACCTCAGATATCTAGGTGCTAATGCACATATTTTAGCAATAATAATGGCCAAGCTAGCCATAGAAAATACTGGACATGTAGCCTAATAGTTTGAAGGTTACCACACTGGGAAAAGCTTGCTCTCTATGTATGTATCTATGTGTGTGTGTGTGTGTGTATGTATATAAATAAAGTGAGTCTATTTCGATATGCATATAACTTCAGAATATTCTGCCAGCTCTTAAGATGGTCATTAGATATAATAAGTCATCTTTTTAATCCTCCAAGTGAACTTGGAACCTTCAGCACAATTTTGTTCATTCACATCTGGCTCTTATAATTTATGGAGAAATAGATTCATTTAGCTAAGTTTAAAACACACACACACACACAAATGAGGCTGGTGCTCAGTTTTATGTAGTCATTGATCTTGTTTTTATATTATATTTGAGTAAGTGCCCAAAGATGAACTTTACACTGTTACTGATTTTTAAAAATAAGAACAAAGAATCTAACATCTTGATATATTCCAAATGTTTTCAACTTTACAAAAAATGGTTTCAGAGATGATAGGATAGCTTATTCTCCTATTTTAGTTCACATGTCAATTGTTTGCCAAATTCTTTATAACTTGTGGTCGTTCCTGGGTTATGTCAGCCAGAGCTCATCAGCTTCATGTGTTCTATACATTGCTAGGAAACAGTAATTTACATATTGCTTGGAATTTTTGTGGTTTCCATTATATTGTGCCTTATATTGTGTTTGACTTAGCGCTATTGATAGCTTCTAGGCAATGTACAATTTCATGTGAGCTGCAAATAAAAAAAGGCAGCTTAATTCTGCCAGTCTAATCCAGAAAAAGCGGTCCTCTATGGCAGAACTTAAGCTGCATAAGACTGCTGCGAGCACAATGTCATCATTTCACTTAAGAGACATACTTGGCTCCGAGATTAATTTATGAGATCAGTGTAACAAGTCACAATTTGGCACTAACCGTTGTAATTATAGGTGGCTGCTGTTTTTATTATGCACTGTATGGGAAGGTAACATTTGCAAAATTACTCTTGGATCTGTTGGATCAATCATTTTCCTATATATTGAATCCTTCTAGAATCTCCACACTAATAAGAAATCTGCTTTGCTTTTTCAGGTGGAAATAAAGATAATATCAGGGCAGGGTGCAAGAAATGTGGCTATCGTAAGTATCCACAAAGATGAAGATACAATTCTGAAAGTGGACAGGTTGGAATGAGTTTTCTTGCAGTATACTATCAGCAGCAGTTGTGGGGGACTGGGAAAAAAATCGTTCATTTTTTGGCTGATTTTCTGGTGTGGTGCTTGACCAATAAGGAATTAAGAGTATTGAAATTCAGCTCATTGAAGGAAAGAAGGGAAAAGTGAATTTCAATTCCTTATTGGGCAAGCACCACACTAAAAAATCAGCCAAAAAACAAATTATTTTTTCCAGTAAGTAAAGTGTTGATGGTAGTGGTGGTGGAGGTAATGTGTTCTTTGCTAAATCAGCCTTAGTCAGCATAACCAGTGGTAAGAGAGTGATGGGAAGTGTAGTCCTTACAGTAGTTTGCTGATCTTGAAACAAGCGACCTCAGATAGCAAGCCTGTTTAAAGCAAAACATTAGCATTCTGTCTAAAGAACTGGAGAATCTCTACTAGAGTAGAACTTACTAGATTGGACAAGCTTATCAGCCTGCTGCATTACAAGGAACCATACACAATAGCCTTACCACCAACACGGTAATAAAAGGATATATTAGTCTTTATTATTTAGTGCAAGTATTTTATTATTTACTTTAAACATGCATAAACTGAAAGAAACATTATGCACATTAGGTAATTATGTAGTTTTTGGTGATAAACACAACCAATGGAAGTATGAGAGAACTGTTGTAGATCCTGTAGTCATCAATTTCAGAGCTAAAAGGTTATGTTTTAAAGATCCTCCTGAAGACCTGTATTGAACAAGTCAAGCTAATTTTAAGCCGACAGAAGTTTCACCAACCTAACTTACTTGGTGAATGGATCTTAGGTTACAGCAGGGTTATCATGGCTAACGTCTTATAATTATATTCCTTTTATTCTGTTATCAGTGCTTGATTTAATTTTAAGTTGGATGGTGCTGGTCTGGAGCTAAAGCAATTTTGCTTAAGATGTGATTGACCTTACACGGTTTAAGGATAGGTTTTATGTGGGTATAATATATTTGAAACATTTACATGCATTGGCAAATGTTTAGTGTTATTTTTATGCCTCTGTGCAAGTGTTTTTGAACAGCATTTGAGCTTGTTTGCATTTTATTAGTGTCTTCAATGGCGAATGGTATGTGAATTGTTGATATGAGGCCTACTAAAAGGAAAAAAGGAATGTGCGTATGGATATAAGGCTAATTGCATTATTTTCTATTGTTTGACTCTTGGCTTATAACTGAAAGATACAGACATTAAAAATCTCTTATTTTAAACTTTTTGAGGTTACTTATATTTCTGTATCTAACAGTTTTATGATTCCACTTTCTTATTTCATATTTATTTCATAACATTTATTATAGCTTCCCACTCCATAATATCCATTACAAGAATATTCTACACTGTTCTAATACTGATTTAAATTGGCCGTGTCCATACTTTTTTCCCCCAAATCAAAGTCAATTTTCTGAAATGTTACAACAAAGTTACATTTTCTTGCCATTATGTTTATTACTTTGTTTTATAGCTAAACATTTATACTGTACTGTAATGTAAATCACACCCACATAAGACACAATAGTAGCATCCTTGATACTAACCTTAGAGAAACTGCCAGGTCTACTGTGAAAAATTGAAATGAAAAGATTTTCAATGTTAAGTATTGTTGCCAAGAAAAACTATATGGATGTATCTATGTAGTTACAAGGAGTTGAGCTTGAGTGGAAGGAGACTTTACCTATGGGTGTTTCAAGCTGGATCTAATTAGTCTGATCAGTGCCGGAGCCTTGAAAACAGGGCCGTGGTAAGGTTGTTATATTTAAGCTGTTAACTTTGAAGGAAGTTCTATCACAGCACTCACATACTAATATCACTGGAAGAAAAAGTATGTTATGTCTTAAAAACTGAATTTGGTTTTGAAGGTTCAATATTATACCATTCTTTTAAAGTGCCAAAATGGGAGGGGAGGCGTTAAAATTAATTATTTCATAATAATTAACATTTCCTGACTTCATTTCTTTTATTTATTTGCTGACCACAGAAGAGTAAATTGTACTATTTTTGTTGTTGGCTTTCCCTGAAATCTTTTTCTCTTCTCAAACTTTACTTAGCGGGTCATCTGACATTTGAATGCCGAAACTTTCTCCGTGTAGATCCCAAAAGAGACATTGTTTTAGATGTGAGTAGCACAAGCAGTGAAGAGAGTGAGGAAGAGGAGCTGGGGAAACTTCATGTCATTCCAGAAAAGCAGGGTAAGTTTGAGCGTCTTATATTTGTCTCTGTTTTGTTTTTCTTTTGCAATTTTCTTTTCTGAGCACTGGGTCCCTATTATGCCATCAGGATAGCAGCTAGAACAAAGAATGATATTTTCCAATTGCCTTTAAAATCAGTCCTTAAAGCCAGATGGTTCCTATTTCAGGGATCACTAAAATCTTAATCACTTTAATGTACAGGTGTTCCTGATGAAGAAGAAAAGAAAAAGATCCAAAAGAAGAGCAAGGAAAAATCAAAATTAAAGAAAACAAGAAAAAGGTAGTAGCAAAACAGACAGAGGTGGTCAAATTGCAAAAATCACATGATGGCACCTTGGCAGATCAGTCCGGGTATTATTATTTTATTAATAGAAAAAAATGAAACTGAACATTTTGAGATACTGAAAAAATGTATTTCCTGCTTAGCTGGAGAAACAGTCTATAACTTTGTTTTGGGTAGTCCAACAATCCCTGGTTGGGGGAAGTTGCACTAAGCAACTAATGAGGTTGCAGGAAACTAGCTATTGTAGATTGAGTAGACCATGTTTAATCAAGCCATAGTTTAAGCACAATGTGTGAATGTAGTTATAGAACAAATTCACCTGAAAGAACAGTATATAAGTTAGTCTGGATGTACCTCTTAAGATTACTATAAATAAAACAGTTTTAAACTATTTTAGCTTGATTTCTGTTTCAAAATTCAGGAAGAAGTAGCTGGATTGTTCTCTGCTCCATCTCTCCTCCATTCTTGTTCAGTGCAGCTGTACTTAGAGCTGCTTCCTCTGTTTTTGCTCTTCTTTTAAATAATTAATGTTTATTCTTCTGTAAACCTTAGTGTACCCTTGAGCCTACTGTAATTTCTGTCTACTATGTGGGTGACCCCTTTTATAAAATAAATTCTCTATTAATATACTATCCACAGCCAGAGTCCCAAACAGGGAAAGATTGTATTAAAATAAAAGGCTATAGAGCTTAAGAAAAGTCTCTTTGGTGTATTTAACTAAAGTAGTTCTCTTTACCAGAACTTCTATATATTTCGAGTTTCTCACTCCTATTAGTGTACTAACTACATCATAAACTACATCTATAATCCTATGTTTTGTAGGTCTCATTCTTCAAGCACCACAGAAGATGATGAACCTAAATCAAAAAAGCAGAAATCTCAGAAAAAAGAAAAGAAGAAGATGAAAAAGAATAAATCCAAGAAAAGAAAACATCACAAAAAGGCAGGGAAAAAACACAAAAGGGGGAAAGATTCTTCATCTTCTGATAGTTCAGATTCTTCTAGCAATGATTGAAAAACAAGAGTTAGATTGTTTTACATCAATCCTAGTTCAAATGATAATGCTGCAAGATGTATACTCCTTAATATTTATTTTAAAAAACTCTTCTTTGTATTAAACTTTTTGATGGGGGGAAATTTAGATTTACATTCTCCTTTGTGTTACAACTTTTATTTGTACTTCCTGTTTGAAAGGAAATTAGTATTACTTCTAAGATTTTAATCTTTAAAACAATTATAAATTATTCACTTATTCATGAACAAAATCCAGTAATTTTAGAAGTACAGTCCTGCAGTCCTTAAGACTTCTGATACTCAACAGGCAAACAAGAGGCTGTTGATCTGCAGGTTCCAGATCCCATTTATTTCCATTAAGTGTTCCAGAACGAGAAGAAAAAAACCACCTGAAACCTGTAGCAGGCATTTATGTTCCTTAACTGGGAACATTGAGAATGGAATTCTTCCTAAAGACTTACAACAAAGAAGAGAAGCCCCACTGCATCATCTTCCCTTCTAATAGAAACCCAGCAGGGCATAGGAACAAGTAATTTTTCCTCTTTCAATTCTCTCTTTCTTCTGTCCCATGGAAATGTTTTGTCTTTCTGTTCTGTTATTGAGATACATGTTCTTTTGTAAGTTTTTAGCAAAACAAGATGGGGGTGTATATTTTAGAAAACTTCAAAAAAACAATCATTGCTAGGTATAAGCGGATGATTCCAGAACCAATTATTCTTAGAAATGGGCATGCAAGTGTGCAGCATGGAATGTAGAGGAGTGTGAAAATGTTGAAAGGCTGTTGTAGCATATTGTAGGTGTGCATGCACTTTGATAGATGCATCTCTGGATCAGGATGTAAGTTTGTGTGTAAATATTGAGAATTAAATGAGCAATGTAGACATAGATTTTTAAGCACCTAGTGATTTTTTTCTAGTAAAAAACCCTGCTCTTTGACCACTAAAGATGAAAACTATTTTTATGCTGCTTTTTTATTTCCATGTTGTTTCTTGCCATTTATTTGTATAGATGATGAGAAAATAGTATATACTTTTTGTTGGACCAAAGAAGTAAACCTGGTTGAATTTGTAAGCTAAATGATTGTTTTATAGTACTTTTATTTTATTGAAAAATAAAAATTTAAGAACACCATTTTAGCACCAAGTGCTGCTTTTTTTCATTGGAAAGCTGGTGGGAGAAACAGTGGAGGGAAATACCTTCATATTTTTAATAGTTTTGCAACATGTATTTTGAAGCAGTTTACACAATGCTGTAGTATGTGTCACTTCAGAGTAAAAGTTGCAGATATATTAAAAAATGATATCTTGGCCACATCATTCAAAAGGGCTAGGTGAATAAGAAGTTCACTATAGTGCAGCACATTGGATTCAAACGGAAGGGAAGGTGCTTTGAAGTACATAGTACATTCACATAGCACCTGTCTGCAACTCCTTAAACTACTGCATGTTTTCCCAGGATACTTGCTCTCTATGAACGCTCCTGGAAGAAATCCATGACACTGAAGGAGTTGCTGGCAGGTGCTGTGTACATGTTTGAAGCACACAGATCTGAGGGGCAAATCCTACTGCTTACCTGTTGCTTAGAACATATCTACATCGGGGGGTCCACAGTTGATGCCAAGAGGAATCTCTCATCTCTGTTGACATCTGTCTTGACTCAAATGTGGGAGATACTCTGAAAAAGGCTTCAGTAAGTCAATTCAATATGTGGGAAGATTGATAATCTTTTTTCTGAGACTGTTCAACTATCACCTACACTACTCCTAGAAGCTGGAATACCAATCTGATTTTTGTTCCAACAGGTATAATTCACCATGTATGTCCCTTGTGTAAAAAGGGTGGGGGTTGATTTTGCAATCACAACCACCATCTGTATTTTTTTACACCCACACACACCCATGGATACCCCTGGCATAGAATATTCTTCAGTTCCTAAATAGACTTCAATTTTTATATAGAATGAATAAAAAAAAAAATCCCCTTTCACCCCTATGGGTGGTATGTCTTCCTCAATCTAGGGTCCTCTACCAGAGGCCTGGGAGTTTGAGGGTTCTGTGGAGTATCTTAGCTGTTCCTAGCACTGTACTCCTCTGGACAGAGTTCTGTTGGAGCCACTGTCTCAGCTTAGGAGTCATGGCCCCATGTGCTCCTACCACCATTGGGACCACTTTGGCCTTTACTTTCCACATCCTCTCTATTTCCTC